TCCCTTGCGGCCCATTCAAGCCCCTTCTTTCCCTCCCTCCTTCCCTCCTGGGGCGCTCCCTCGACGGCTCACCTGGCCGGGGAGGGCGCTGTAGTTGAAGGCGTAGAGCTGCTCGGCGGCCCGGCCGACGGCGCCGGCGTAAAGGCGGTCGAACTCGGCGGGGCTCTCTCGGCCGCCGTCCCCCGCGCGCGCCCCGGACAGGGCCAGCAGCGCCAGCAGCCCGGCCCAGGTCCCCTTCCGCATGGCGCTCCCGGGCTGGCGGGGCCAGGGCAGCCTCACCTCGCCGCTGCCCGGCCGCTCATGGCCGCCACGCAGGTACCTCGCCCCGCATCGCTCGCCGACGGACGGACGGACCCGCGGGGAAGGAGCGATGCGGGGGAGGGAGGGGGAGAGAGAGAAGGCAGCCTAATGGCAAGCGTCACGCGAGAGCAGCCCCTGCGCAGAGCCTCCCTCTCTCTCTCTCTGTCTCCGGGCCGACAGGGATGCCTGCTTTCGCCACGTGTCCCTTTGCGCCCTCAGCCCGATTCCCCGCCTGCCAAGAGCATCGCCCAGCAGCAGGGCTTCCGCAGAGGTTGACAGAGAGAGGAGTCAGCCGCACACCTTGAGGGAGGGCCTCCTCCACAGGCCAAGGCCCGGGGGGACCATCCTCAGCAATTAAGGCAGCCCTTTCTCTTGCACCTAATTCACTCCTGGCAGCTCGTCTGTCTATCATATCCATCTAGTATCTATCATCTATCATATCCATCCATCTATCTATCTATCTATCTATCTATCTATCTATCTATCTATCTATCTATCTACTTCATTCATCTAGTTTCTGTCTATCATATCTATCCACCTAGTATCTATCCTATCTAATTAATTAATCCATCTAGTTTCTGGCTATCTATCTATCTATCTAATCCATCTAGTATCTATCTATCTATCTATCTATCTATCTATCTATCTATCTATCTATCTATCTATCTATCTATCTATCTATCTATTGTATCCATCCATCTAGAACCTATCTATCTATCTATCTATCTATCTATCTATCTATCTATCTATCTATCCATCTAATCCATCCATCTAGTAGTATCTAGTATGTGTCTATCTATCATATCCATTCATCTAGTATCTATCTATCTATGTATCTAACTATCTAATCTATCTATCTATCTAATCTAATCCATCTAGTATTCGTCTGTCTATCATATCCATNCGGCTGCACTAGCCTGAGAAACTTCCAATAGCCAAACCCAGCTTTTCAAAGCCTCAAAGTTTTGCTTCACAATCAGAATCTGGGTTGTTGAAGGCTTTCATGGCTGGAATCACTGGGTTGCTGGGAGTTTTCTGGGCTGTATGGCCACGTTCCAGAAGCATTATCTCCTGACGTCTCACCCACATCTATGGCAGGTATCTTCAGAGGTTGTGAAGTTGTCACATAGATGTGGGCGAAATGTCAGGAGAGAATGCTTCTGGAACATGGCCATACAGCCCAGAAAGCTCCCAACAACCCAGAAATCAGAATAGTTTTTCAGTATTGACTCAATCTGTGGGTTGACCTAACATTATCTGATAAGGTTGTTTTTTTGTTAAATTTCCAAAACACCCCATGTGCAAAAGGGTAATGTAACATTTGGCCTCTTGAGCAAGTGGCCCTGTACACAAGATGCTGTTTACCCAAGACGTTTCCATCAGACACAATCAAGATTACCTAACGGGGGTTTGCAACTAACTGTTGCGAATGCCCCACCTTGCGACAGGTATTGCTTTCCAAAGAAACAAACCTAAGGCAAGAGAGGTGAAATGTCAACTGTGGAAATGGAGGGGAGGGGCGAAAAAAAGAGTTGTAACTGACACATATGTGTGGAACCTGTAATACTCGGGGGGAAACAGCACACTGTTTTCTTTCCTTTCCTTCTCTCCCACCTTTCCTTTCCTTCTCTCCCAACTCCTAACTCCTCACTCCTCTAAACCTAACTCCTGACTGCTCACTCCCCTAAACCTAAACCCTAACTGATTTTTAACTGTCGTTTGTTCAAACTCTCCCCGCTAAGCTCCTCCCACTTCCCTCTCTCCAGCATCGGTCTCCATGGCAACGCCCATGGAGGACTCCTCTGACTTAGGCCGCTCCAGCATTACTGCAGCCAATCTAAACACAAATACAGTTAAAATCATACAATTTATAATCAACTCCTGTACACCTTCCCCCACAGAAAAATTATTTTTGGGCCATTCTCACTCCCGGAATGGGCAAAAATAATTCCACAAATTATCCAACAATATCTAAATACACAATATTTCTGAAAGGCAATCACAATATGGTTAAATATATTATAATGCATATATACAAACCTTTTACCATACGAAATTCTAGATAAGGCGTCTGCGACTATGTTTCGTTTACCTGAAGCATGTTTAATTTCAAATGTAAAATCCTGTAAACATAAACTCCATCTCAATAATTTGTTATTCGTACCTTTTACATTATCTAGCCATCTTAATGGAGCATGGTCCGTTTGTAAGGTAAACTTTCTCCCCCACAAATATGGCTTTAATTTTTTTACTGACCATATGATGGCATAGCATTCTTTTTCAATCATTGACATGTTATATTCATTGGAATGCCATTTTTTACTCAAAAACAAAATAGGTCTGTCCTCACCCTCTACATCTAACTGGCTTAGGACAGCTCCTAGCCCAGTATCCGATGCATCACATGTTAGAATAAAAGGTTTATCAAAATCTGGCGCAATTAGGACCGAATCCGAAGTAATGGCTTTCTTCAATTGATCCATGGCAGTTTGACAATTTGGAGTCCAAATTACCTGATTCGGGTTCTTCTTTTTGGTAAGATCCGAAAGAGGGGCTGCCAAATCACTAAAAGATGGAATGAATTTACGATAGTATCCAGCCAATCCAAGGAGTGCCCTAACCTGTTTTTTTGTTTTGGGCACAGGCCACTGGTGAATAACTGCCACTTTAGTAGGGTCAGGTCAAATACAACCTCCTCCCACTAAATGTCCTAAATACTTGGTAGTATTGTATCCTAACTTGCACTTGGAAGCTTTAATAGTTAACCCTGCTTCCCTCAACCTACTTAATACCAGATCCAAATGTTCAAGGTGAGCTTCCCATGAATCACTGAAAATCCCTATATCATCGATATAGGCCACGCAGAAAGACCCCAGCCCACTTAAAACTCTGTCCACTAATCTCTGAAATGTGGCTGGGCTGTTCTTTAACCCAAATGGAAGTACGGAAAATTCAAATAGCCGATTTTGGGTCCGGAAGGCGGTTTTATGTTGATCCTGTGGTGCCATGGGCACTTGCCAAAATCCTTTGGTTAGATCTATACTACTAATAAAATTGGCCTTCCCCATCCTTTCCAGCAAATCATTCAAACATGGCATAGGATAAGTATCTGTTTGGGTTACCTTGTTTAATTGCCTATAATCTACACAAAATCTAATTGTCTTGTCTGGCTTCTGTACTAATACTATGGGTGAAGCCCAAGAGCTAATCGATGGAACAATGATACCTAGGTCCAACATTTCTTTAATCTCCCTTTCAATACATTCATTGGGTCTCCCTGTGACCCTGTAGGGTGGACATACTATAGGAGCTACATCACCGGTGTTTATTTGATGCTGGACTCCCTGGACCTTTCCTGGTAAATCTGAAAATATATCTTTATATTTACTCAAAATTTCCACAACCTCTCTTCGCTGTGGTTGGGACAATTCACTGTTTATTTCTACCCGATCCAAATTTTTGTATTGTTCACGATCACCCTCCCAAAAAGAAAAGGGACCGGATTCTTCTTCCGAAACAACAAAATAAACATTAGCAGACCTTCTAACATAAGGCTTTAACATGTTTACATGAACTCTTCTTTCCACATTTGAATGTTCATCATAAATATCATAGTTTATTTGATTGTGTTTCCTGGTGATCTTCCAGGGTCCCGACCAATCTAATTGCAGTTTGTTGGTTTTGTTGGGAGATAAAAACAAAACTTCATCTCCGATGTTGAAGATCTTTGGCTTAGCAGTAGAATCATAATAGTCTTTTTGTCTTTGCTGAGCTGCAAGCAAATGTTCTTGTGCAATGTCCCTAGCCAGTTGCATTGTTGATTGAAGATCCTTTAGGTACTCCGACACTGGAACTGGATCTGTTGCTGGATTTTCCTCCTAGTATTCCTTTATCAGGTCTAATGGACCATGAGCTTTCCTTCCATATAGCAATTCAAGCGGACTGTAGCCAGTACTGTCATGAGGGACGGTCCTGTAGGTGAATAACAGTTGTTGTACTTTGACGTCCCAGTCGTATGGCTTCTTTTGACTGTAAGACTTTATCATTTTGACTAAAGTCTTGTTCAGATTTTCAACTAGTCCATTTGTCTGTGGGTGATAAGCTGTTGAAGTCAGGTGTCTGATTCCACATAACTCAAGCAATTTTGACATAAGTCTGGAAGTAAATTGAGTTCCCAAATCAGAAACCAATTCTCTAGGATAACCAGTTCTTCCCCAAATGGATAACAGTGCATTTGCAATCGTTGTTGTCTCAATGTTAGTTAGAGCTACAGCCTCTGGATATCTTGTGGCGTAGTCAATCATGGTTAGAATGTATCTGTAACCACGTCTGCTTGGCTTACAAAGAGGACCAACTATGTCAATGCCCACTCTGTAAAATGGTTCTGCAATTACCGGCATAGGGATCATAGGAGCTTTAATTTTATCCCTTCCAGTACTCAATCTTTGGCAGATATCACAAGACTGGCAAAACTCTTTGATCTTCTGGAACATGCCAGGCCAATAAAAGTTTTTAGTGATCCTCTTTGTGGTTTTCCTCACGCCCAGATGACCACCGTGAGGGTTCTCGTGTGTCGCCCTCATCAGCTGTTCTCTAAAACTTTGAGGCACTACAATCTGATTACATGTCATTGATCCTTCTGTTGACTTCATGTTTCTGGTTTCTCTATACAAGACACCATTCTTTAACACAAACTTGGAGGGCTGCCCTTTTGCTGATACTGTGAGGTTTTGAGCCAAAGCGAACAAAGGTTTTAGAAATTCATCTGCTCTTTGTTCCTGTTGAATTTCTCTGACTCCTCCTGTCTTCTTAATAAGCTCAGCAACCATAGTGCTGGATTCTGGATTCTCATCCCCCTCCTGTTGTATGGCGAAACACATGGCTTTTTGATCAGGGCTTTTGCTGTTATATTCTTCCTCCTCACACATCATTCTCCACTTTCCAATCTTTTTAGCCAGATCATTTCCAATTAAACACCTGTATGGTATGTCTGGACTGACTGCAAAATCCCACATACCCTTCCAACCTCCATATTCTATTGGCAAAGACACTACTGCTGTTGGTATTGCAGGTCCCAAGCCTTTTAATCTTATTTCAGAGGTAGGATGCTGAAATTTCTGAGGTATTATATCTGGATGTATAATACACACATCAGATCCTGTGTCCCGCCACCCTCTCATGTCTTTGTTGTCAATGGAAATGGATTCTAAGTAATCCTCAGTTGCGGTGTTTGACAAAATGAACAAACATTGTTTCTCTTGAGGCACCGTTTCCGAACTCTCCTTTGACACAGTATTTGGTTCTGTTTTCTTTGTTTCTTTTACTTTATTA